AGGCCCAATGCACAAAATTCGTGCACAGGTAGGGTCCCTAGGCCTGGCCAGCGATCAGGGCCGATCGGGGCCTTCCAGCTGCCAGCTGGGTCCTTCCTTCTGGCTGCTGGCCAGGGCCTCCCTTCCCTGGCTGCCGGCCGCCAGCCGAGGCCTTCCTTCGTTCTGTGCCACCCCCTGGTGGTCAGCGCAAGTCATAGCAAGCAATCGAACTCCCGCTCTCCCAGTCGAACTCCCGAGGGGACACTCTGCATATTAGCCTTTTATATATATACTAGAGGCCCAGTGCACAAAATTCATGCACTTGTGTGAGGCGGGGTCCCTCAGCCCGGCATGCGCCCTTTCGAAGTCCAGGAGCCCTTGGGGGATGTCCAACTGCTGGCCAACCCGGCAGTCAGACATCGTTAGTGCTGCTGCAGAGGCAGGAGAGGCTCCCACAACCGCCGCTGCGCTCGCCAGCCGTGAGCCCGGCTTCTGGCTGAGTGGCACTCCCCCTGTGGGAGCACACTGACCACCAGGGGGCAGCTCCTGCATTGAGCATCTGCTCCCTGGTGGTCAGTGCCTGACTGGTCGTTCCGCTGTTTGGTCAATTAGCCTTTTATTATATAGGATAGATACAGTGGGGCCTTGACTTACGAGTTTAATTCGTTCCGTGATGGAGCTCGTAACTCAAATTACTCGTATGTCAAACCAAGAAGTGAACGAGTGAGACACGTGATGCTGGGCTGATGTTGTGGCGTTCACTGTGACATTCGCTGCGCCAACTAGCGGTGGGGTATCTGAAGCTGGCTCGTAACCCGAATTTTAGCTCGAAACTCAAAGCAAAAAATTGGCCGAGAGATAGCTCGTATCTCGAAAAATTCGTTAGTCGGGACACTCATAAGTCAAGGCCCCACTGTATATAAAAACTTGTTAAAAAAAATTAGGGCCCATGTCTGATTCACATTTTCCCCAGGAGTGATGGCTGGACTTGCCTCTTTTGGAGAAGAATCCCTCCTTTCTCGACCACAAACAAGTTTTCTGGGGAGCTGCTATTCTCCTACTCCACCTCACCTTCCTGGCCAAACGATTGCTCCAAAGTTGGCATCATGGTATTTCAGGTATTTACTTGAGTTTTTTTTTTTTTTAAACAAGTTGGGGAAAGAGAGTCTTTTTCTGCCAGGTTGCAGAGGTCAGAGGAAGCCAAGCCTCCCATTCACAGGGCGATGGGTCTGTAAGAGGCGAGAAGGTCAAATGCTCAAAGAAGAGGTGAAAGTGGTCCGATGGTTCCAGTCCTTGGTTCCAGCCATTCCTGAGACCTTTCCTGCAGGTCGGCGTCCACCAGCCAACTCTTTTGGCCTTTTTGCTTGAGCCAGTTTCAGCGGGTTTCGGTCCAGAGCCAGAGACCACGCATCCCCAGAGGACTCGTCAGTCAGCAGGGAGGCTGCAGAGTGAACGGCACGTGGCCTGCACTGGCTGGGCTCCAGGCCCTACTTTGGTGCTGGGTCTTCACGACAGGAGAGGCTGGGAATGTCTTCCTGGAAAGAGAAAAATAAAGTAAGATTTGATGATAACATAACATTACTTCTGCCACTCCAAACATCCTTCCTCCCTTCCTTTTTTTATTTTTTATTTATTTATTTATTTATTTTTATTTTTTTATTTTAATATATTTTATTGACTTTTTACAGAGAGGAAGGGAGAGAGATAGACAGTTAGAAACATCGGTGAGAGAGAAACATCGATCAGCTGCCTCCTGCACATCTCCTACTGGGGATGTGCCCACAACCCAGGTACATGCCCTTGACCAGAATCGAACCTGGGACCCTTCAGTCCGAAGGCCGATGCTCTATCCACTGAGCCAAACCGGTTTCGGCATCCCTTCCTTTTTTTAAAAATTGCTTTCAGAGCGGAAGGGAGAGGGAGAGAGAAACAGAAACATCAATGATGAGAGAAAATCATTGATCTGCCGCCTCCTGCACGCCCCCTACTGGAGATCGAGCTCACGACCCGGGTGTGTGCCCTTGACTGGAATCGAACCCGGGACCCTTCAGTCCTCAGGCTGATGTTCTATCCACTGAGCCAAGCCAGCTAGGGCCCTTCCTTTTTTAAAAATAAATGAAAGGCAATAATTGGAGGTAAGTGTATATCCCGATTTGGAGAACAAGCTGTCAGCCTACGAAGGGCCTCTGAACAGTAAAGCCATCAAAATCTGCAGCTATCCCAGCGCTTCCCAAATTCGTTTGGCCATTGAGCCCTTTAACCTCAGTGTGCTCTCCTTCGGGACTCTGAGGTGCAAACGCAACTGTCCTAAATGAGTCAGCCCTGGGCCTTGTTTCTCTCACCTGGTCCTAGCCATGCCGTAGGGCAGTGATGGCGAACCTATGACACGCGTGTCAGAGGTGACACGCGAACTCATTTTTTTGGTTGATTTTTCTTTGTTAAACGGCATTTAAATATATAAAATAAATATCAAAAATATAAGTCTTTGTTTTACTATGGTTGCAAATATCAAAAAATTTCTATATGTGACACGGCACCAGAGTTAAGTTAGGGTTTTTCAAAATGCTGACACGCCGAGCTCAAAAGGTTCGCCATCACTGCCACAGGGCATGTGCGTCTGGGACATGAGACACCCCACCTGACCCAATGCTCAGCTCTCCTGGCCCCTCCCCTCCCCCCCTTCCCTCCCCACTTCCTGTGATTCACACCCGCTCAGGCAGCCTCTTCCAGGAACTCACCATAGGGAAGGTTAGGTCTCAGTCATCTGTGCTTATCTGGAAGGAATCTGAGTTCAACCTCTGACCCAAAAAACAGTTTCTTCCTAGTCTGTTCAGGATGAGGCCCTTCTCCTCTATTGGAATCCCTCCTCCCCCCCCCCCAAAAAAAACAACCAAAACAAACAGAGACCCCTCACTCACTCACTCGCTCACTCACTCACTCACAGAGCCTCCTTTGGCCCCTGGGCAGCTTGGGCTGATGAGCAGCCCCCTCCTGGAGCTGGGTCTGCCCTCCTGGACCCTGTTCCCCTGACTCCCGCTCAAACCTGGACCGAGACAGCAAAGCCAGTTCCTCCCGTGACAGGTGTCTGAGGGCCCAACAGGGGTTTCTTCAAATGTCTGTGAGTTTCTAGGCCCCTCACAGCCCTACCCTTCACCCTCAGCCCCATCATTACGATCAAGGCAGGACTTCCTGTCACTTTCTTGGGTTGAGACTCAGCAGTCCAGTTGCTCGGCATCTTCCAGAATCTTGATTGGGTCACGAACCACGCTGGTGTTAGTCACTCTTTCCAGTTTTGTCTCACCTCCAGGCACATTCCACAGGCACTTCCGTGGCTTCCTCCAAGTCACGGAGCAGGCCTGGGAAGGGATTCGGAGAGGCAGGAAGAGGAGACAGCAGGGAAGAGCATTTACTGGGCTCACTTGCCAATCCGCTCTGGGGGTCAAGTTGACTCAGTTACTGCCCCTCCTGTTTCTGGAACACGGCCCCCACCAACCCCCACCATCCTTCACTATGGTTTCCCGGGGGCTGCCAAGCTCTTCCCAGCCTGCTCCTCTGCCCACAGCGGGTGGGCCCAGACACGATTTTGGCCCTGCCGAAGAGTCCGGTCAGTCTCTCACTAAAGTGGAAGATGTCAAGGCCAAGGATCGAACAGGGCACTGATGCTCCAGCACAGTGCCTGGCCCGGTATTAGCTGTTGTCATGATCTCTTGAAGCTAACACATGACCCCAATGAGACAAACATAGAGTCCAATAAGTGCATTCGCTGATGGAATACAGTTGTGTATGTGTGTGCATATCTATATATATAAAAGGCTAATATGCAAAGTGTCCCCTCAGGGGTTCAACCGGGAGTTTGATTGCTCGCTATGACGTGTGCTAGCAACCAGGGGACGGTGCAGAATGAAGGCCCTGGCTGGCAGCCAGAAGCCAGGGAAGGAAGGCCCCAGCCGGCAGCCAGAAGGCCCTGATCGGCCCTGATCGCTGGCCAGACCTAGGGACCCTACTCGTGCACGAATTTCATGCACCGGGCCTCTAGTGTTTAATAAAGTGCACCAGACACTAAGAAAACACATAGTCTTTGCAGCCCAAAGCTGACTCAGCACGAAAGCAGCAAACCCTGTCCCAGTGCCCGGAGCCCTGGCCCCGCAGTGCCAGCGGCCCCACCACCTGCTGGCCTCCTCTCTCTGCTCTCGGAAGCAGCTAAGGGTGCTGCCAGCTGCCTTCCTCCCTGGCCTGGGCCAATTCAAGAGGCAGACGCAGTCCTGGAGTAATAGCTGTGTGGGGGACGCAGGAGCTGTCTCTGCTGTTGCATCAAGTGACAGGAAGCGAGCCTCCCGTGTGCCCTTGGCTTTGCTGTGTCCAGAGCTGCAGACGGCAGGCGGGTGTGTCTATGGTTCTCAGGGACGCTCCGGTGCCCTCTGAGGCAGGGGGAGAGAGGGGGCCATGTGGAAGGAGCCAGTCTTGAAGCTGAGCCCCGGCTACACTGTCCGGGGGCTGGTGGGCCCTTCAGCGTCTCCCTTCAGGTGCTGCAGGAGAAAGCAAAGCCCTCTGATTCTAGAGGGATGGGTGGGAGGAGAACGCGTTCCTTGGCGTGCGGGAGGACACACTCCGTGCTTTCCCAGCTCTGTGCTGGCCGAGTCACCCCAGTGGGTTTCTCTCATCCTAGACTTCTTGGTCCAGCATCCTATTCACTGTACACGTGCCCCAAATTCTGCTGGAGCCCAAGTCTCACCATGAGGCAAGTCTGTCCCAATGTGGCCGCCTTCCTGGCAGTCAGCTCAAACTGATACTTCGGGGGACTTCCTGCCGTTTCAAAGGGTCTTTCCCCACAAAGAGCCACCAAGAAGGATGTCCCAGCCCCATTCCCTGCCGCAGACACCAGCGGGCAACTGCACCCCACCCGCCTTCCCACCGCTGAGCCAGCTGCTCACCCTCACCAGCCACCCCCTCGCCCCGGAAGGCGGCTGGGATCAACCCCGTGGTCTGAGTGGTGGTCGCATCTTTAAGAAGATGAAACTGGCTTCCAAATCTAAAACTACCTTTATTTGTGGTTGGCTCAACATAAGACGCCATCATCAATCAGCAGAATTATAAAACTGTACAGGAGGTACAAAAATAGGCCATTTAACTTATATAATTACCCTCACATTGTCAAGCTTTAAAAATACACATAAAAATTGTACAATCTGGCAGTTTATAAAATATAAAGCTAAAAAGGAGGATTTTAGGCTCCACAAAGAGGATTGTTTCACATAATTAACACACATTTAACAACTAACCATCCACAGAGAAGACACGATGGCACAGAATTATTTTTAAATCACTTAAAAATTAACATTTTTACCACGACCAAATTATTCACCCTTTACTAACAAAGCTACTGTAAGGCATCCATCCCGTGGAAGGATACAGTATAACTTTTCCTTTTCCAGTTTTAACATGGTCAGGGGTGTTGTCCAAAACAAATCGTCTATGCTTTAAGCAAGTGCAATTGTAGCTGGGGTATACTTCAGAGTAAAAATTAAATAAATATAAATAGGTTAAATAAATAGGTCATTGCAAAAAGAACACTACGTAAGGTTTGCATCTGAGAACGTGGCAGAGTTGACTGGTAATGCTTTCCGGGCAATGGGGACACCCCCGTCACAGCTTCTGGGATACTGAAAAGGAATACTGCACCCACCCAGCGCAGAGCTCGGGAGGCGGGTGTGGGACCTTGGCCGCGGTTGTGGGTTAAGGCTGCCCCGGTGGGAGCTCACTGCGGATGGTTCTGTGGTTCTCCAATGAGCACAGGAGAGATTTAAGTGCTGCTACAGTCAGAACCGGAGTCACGCATGGGAAATCACCGTTTCAAAAGGAAGTACAGAAGAGGACAGACGCTTTGGTTTGAAAGGTAACGGTCCAACCCTGGAAGGAGGAAATCTGGCTTATCTGGATGGGACACGCAGTGACTTCCTTGGAAAGGCTGCTGCCAGGCCAGGCACATCTGAACAACTCCAGGACGGCGCAGAACGGAGGCATGAAGGAAAGGGATTCCAGAAACCGAAGGAAAGCTAACGAGAATGTAAGGGGGCTCTACGGGGTGCTGGGCTCGCTCTTCCTGCAGAGAGGGCTGTGGACGTGGAGCCAGCCCATCTTCCGCAGGAACCAGCCAATGAGCACATGGAAAAGGGGAACAGTCTTGGGAAACCCAAAGTGTCGGGAAGCTGGCCAGAGTCCAACTTCTGAAACGAGAGCGGCCAAGAGAAAGCACTGCTGTCCAAAGGCCCCCACGTCAGCGAGAGGTCAGAGCAGCAATGAGAGGGAATCACACAGATACGCAAATCACGTCCACACAAAGCCTTGGTGGGAGGACCAGGGTAATGCTGATAAGGACCGTTTTTGAGGGGAAGAAAATACTTTGCTGGGCCCACTGGCCTGGAGCTCTTCCAGTACAACACATGCAGCGGGCCGGAGTGACGTCTCGCCGCAGAGCCTGCGGTGACTATCGCACTGAGACAGGATTTTGTACTTCGGCGCCCAGATGGCTCAGTGACTTACCAGGTAACACCAGTGAGTCCCGAAAGTGCAAATGCTCAGATGCCTAGTGACACGTGGAGTCTTTTATAAAATGAGTTAGAAAGCTCGAGAAGCCATCAGAGAACAGTGTCGTAAAAATAAAACCGAATACTTCTAAAAGTCCAACAGCCTTCTAGGACTCGTACTCCACGTGCCAGAGCTCAGCAGGAAACCTGAATGCTAGAGGCTGAGGCGGGATCTACCACAGGGTGTTTCCGTGGCAAGTGTCCACGCAAGACCTCTGCAAGCCCCTGAAGGCCTGGATCCCGAAGGCGATGAGGATAAGATGGACAGAGAGCAATGTGACCAGTTCCAAGGGGTCCCAGGACACGGGCGCTTTAAGACTGAAAAGGTGCAAACCCCAAATCATGCCCTTCCCCACCCCTGGGCTCCTTCATGCACTGATGTTACCTTGTTGTCTCTCACCACAGGCTCCTATGAGAGCACAGGTTCTATCTTGTCCCTCTCTCTGTCCCCAGCGCCAGTGTCCCAGCATGCGGTGAATCAATGAGTCTCAGTTGGGTGGTTAGAAATATGATCAGCAGAAAAGGCATTTTAAAAAGAAGTTGTCCTGCAGGCAAGGTGAGCCAAAACAGAGAGATGACAAGTATCGGGCGGCTAGAAACGACCTGGCTACTCCGCAAAGAGAACGCTCAGCAGTGCGGTACAGCCGCACCCGGCAGCAGAGAGCCGGCAGCCCGGGACGTCACCCGTGGCACCTTCTCCGCCTGTCCCTCGGGCTGGTGGCACAGCGACCCGCGGAACGGAGCTGGCACAGGCCAATGAGAGCGGGGAGAAGAACCCGTCTGGCTGTGCAGGTCTGAATGAGGTAACTGGTGAGCTTCACAGAGGTGGGTCCTGTTTAAGAGAACGAGTGACCTCAGGCATCATGGAAGGGAACGGACGTCTACAAAGGCAGAACCAGAGCCTCTGCTGCGTGGCCTTCACACACGAACACCACGAAGACATCGCACAGTAAGACACAGTGATTTCCCGTCAGGCAGTGAACTCCACGGTGACACTCGCACTCCCAGCGGAGTCTCCGAGTTCACCGGGGTGCAGGGCGGACCCGCATGAGCCGCTCCCCCGGCTGGAGAACGTACAGGAAACGCTTCCTCACGTGGTACCCTCACTGCATGTAACCACTAAGGCTCTCGGTAGAGAAAAGACAGGAATTGATTAAAACGAAAATTAAAAATTACATTAAATTTGGGGGGAGAAAGGACACGGCGATTTAGGGAATATTACTTTGAGGATGACGTGTATAGTGACACTGTAATGCTTGCTCTTCACCGGCGCTGGAGAATGTTCTGAATACGAACACTCTTCCGGCGGGGGGAGGGGGGAGAGGGGTACCACACAGAATAGATGTATTGCATTTCTTCTTCATGAGCAAGCTTCACGTGACGCTTCGCTCACTTGTGCTAAGGTAGCATTCTACAGTGTGATCAAACTATGAAGTTATTAAAATCTGCCAAGAGAAACAAAAAATCCTGCCCACGAGGCACGTGGGGAGCCTGGCCTTGGCCACCAAGCCCCTGGCCATCCTGCTGGCTGCAGGGACAGAGGCCTCATCGCCTGCCCTCTGGCCCAGGGCTCTCCCGGGATGGCCACAGTGGCCAGGTAGGCCCTTGACCCTCCGGTACCGAAGGCCTGTCCCTGCCTGGGTCCTTGATGGCCAGGGAAGTATCACTTCTTGCCCCCAAATGCTCCTAAGCATCCCTAAATGGTCCAGGCCACAAAGCCACCAAAAGCCACCATGGAGGCCACCAGCACATGGGGCCGCAGCTGCCTTGGAACCGAGCGTCTTCTCCGTTTCCCACACCTGCGGCCGTGGACTCCCTTCCGGTGTGCGCTGACCTGTCCCAACACCACACCCCACTGCCCCGAGGAAGCACTGGGTCCAGTGACCTGGGACACTTGGGCGCACTGTGCTCGGTGACCAGTGACCGCCGTCCCTCCGTCGGTGCCCCTCAGCCTGCTGGTCGGGGAGAGCTGCTCCGGGCCCCGCACACGGCAGGGCTTAGGATTTCTTCCTCCCGCTTCCTTCAAGGCCTGCAGGCTGACATCGAACAGGAAGTTTAAAAAGAAACATGTCTGAAGCCAGTCTATCCAGGAGGAGGTGGAGGTGCCCTGCTGCTGCCTGGGGACGGCCCTTCCCGCAGCTGTTCCCTGGTGGTGAAGCTTTCACCCCTGTCTTCCCAGCTTCCTGCAGGTCAGGAGGGGTCACCTCTCCCCATCTAGGGGTCAGACCCTCCTCTGCCAGCTGCAGAGCAGGCAGCTCAAGGCACTGGGTTGGGAGCCTGGTCTTCTTGCTAAGTGTGGCCTCTGGCCCTGGATTGCAGACAGGGGGCGCTCAGTCACAGCTGGGGCCACAAGACGGAGTCCGGCCTGGCTCAGGGGCGTCTGCAGTCTCGGGGGCCTGCGGCTCGGGGGGCGGGTGGAAGTAGTAGGGCTGGAAGAGCCGCTCGTGGCTGCACAGCTCCATGGCCCGGTAGGTGTGCGAGAGGAGGTGGGGGAAGCGGGACGTGAAGTAGCGCACGAAGTCGTCGGGGAGGGAGCCCAGGGTCTCCCGCACCTCCACGGGCAGCTCCCGGTAGTGGTGCTTCTGCAAACAGGGCGACACAGACACGGCCCGTCAGTTAGAGAGCCCAGGAAACGCTGGTCAGAGACCCTTTTATTACTCAAAGAAGAAAACGTTCGTTAGTTCTCTGTAAAGGAAAGGGGGAAGGGTTAAGCAGCCCACAATCCATCCTGCTCACCATGGCTGCTTCCTCTCACTCGGAGGAGACCTCGGAGCTGAGCAAGGCCCAGCGAGGGGAGTGGCGTGGGGACCTAGCGCGGCCCCTGGCAGCCTCAAGCGGAATAAAGTCGCCTGGAACTGAAGTGTCTGCCCCCACGGGCTTGGAGGCCTCGTCTGGGCCTGGGCCCTGTTTGAAGGCTGCTCAGTGACAGCTCAGGCCAAGACACCCCCAGGTCCCTCCAGAGACAAGTGGGGCCCCTGCCCAGCGCCCTGGAGACAGGCCCGTGTGGGAAGTGCCCAGAGGGCCCTCTAGGGGTGGACATGGTGCTGGATCGGGCAGGCAGAGGGCACCAGTCAGTGGAGACCACAAAGGACGCCGGCAGCAGAAAGCCTGCTTCCCAGGTGAGCTGCTCACCTCAAGGTCCCCGAAGACCAAGCTCGTCTAAGGGAAGAAAGTCTCTAGTTTGCCAAGTCTGGCTAAGGCCGCCCAGCCTCTACGAGGTCAGAATTCCAGGCTGGGTGAAAGGGTGCGTAGAGAATGGATAGGAGGAGAGGGTGGCTGAGTGGCTGGGTTCACAGCCCTCACCTTATTTCTCATGGCTCGGAGGAGGTCTCTGACGGAGCCACCCTTGTAGGTTCTGAATTTACGCAGATCTAGAAAAAAACAAGGAACGCAATGGAACAAACACTTTCCACAAGAAAACAATTCCTGAGGCTCCTGGGGACTAAGCGATGGGACTGAAACAACATCACTGCACTCTCATCAAGGGCGGGAGCGCGCCCAGACTGAACCCGGGTGGGGCTCGTCTGCATCCCACCTGCTGATCACACCCGACCAGAGACAAGCACCACCCACCACTGATCCGTCACTCAGACAACAATGAAACACATGGTGTAACGGTCTGACGTGCATCTAAACCAGACGACACCCACAGAAAGCCTCCACCCTGCATGTGGTGCTTGGAGCTGAAACAGCCTGCAGCCGCCATTTCCACGTTTGCATCTCAGAACCAGCTGCAGCTTTGGGAACATCGGTGGTCACCTGTCTGGAGGGGGACGGTGATGTTCTCCCTCCAGTCCATCTTCACCACGGCTCGCCCGCCTCTCTCCAGCTGCTTCACAATCGGGCCGTCCAGGGACTCCTTTTCTATCCGGTCACTCACGTCCTGCAGGAAGACGAGGCCACAGGTGGTGGTCAGTGTGGAGAGAAGCTGAGCTGGAGGATCGACACCCAGGCAGAGCGGTCACTGCCTCCTGAATCCTCAGCTGGGCTGAAGCCGGCCTCCGGGCGGGGCAGCTGGACTTCTGCCTCCCCCACCCCAGTGAGTTAGCTTTCCCCGGGGAGTGGCCATGTCTGCTGCTCACTGCAGAGAGGCCCACATGGTCCGTCTCCACGACAGAGATGACACAGATCATACCTGTCCACGGACCCTGAGCACCTCACCTGCATGTCACACCAGGGAGGACTCTGAGAAACACATCACCTTCCCCAAAGCCACCTGGCAACACTAGGAGGCCTTAAAATAGCCACAACTTTACAGGAGTTCATGTCCACTGATCCTGTAATTTAACCTCGGAATCTATCTTAAGAGCTGGGCAAACAAACAAACAAACAGAAACCCAATATAAGGAAATGTTTAAATCTGTGAAACTTGAATGAAATTGTATGACGCCTGAGGTTTGCTTCAAAATATTCTGGGGCGGGGAGGGGTGGAGAGAGGGCCAAGGCTGAGTTAACAATTGCTGGACCCGGCTGATGGCTAACCGGGAGTTCATTATCATATTCCCTCTACCTCTGTGTGCATCTGAAAGCTCCCATAACACAGGTTTTAAATGATGGCACACGCATATGATAGAATGCAACAGTCATTAGAATTTTAGAGCATTAACATGGAAAAATACTTGAAATAGTATATACAGTAAAAAAAAAAAAAAAGGCAAGATACAAAACTGTATATATAGCTTGATCCTGATCTCACTTTTATTTTATGAAGAAAATATATTAAGCTGCCAGGCCGGGCTGCCTCTAGGTATGGGATCGGGATCGTGTGTCTTATTCCTCGTCCTGCTGCCTTCTCAGCGCCTGGCGAGCGCTACCTCAGTCTGCATGGAGCCAGGCCCACCTGGAAGAACTGGAGCTGCTTCTCGAGGCTCCAGAAGAACGGGTGCTTCAGCACGTGCTTCGCTGACGGGCGCTTCTGAGGGTCCATGGAGATCATCTTCTCTATCAGCTCCCGGGCGATGACGTCTTCTGCGGAGGAAGACAAGAAGCACGCGACGAACGCATCATCACCAGCCCAGCGCCACGGCGGACCACCCCCACCTGACCCGTCTGCACGCCCTTGGACTTAAGACTCCACGGACAGGAATTCGTCTGTAACTTAACGAAGATCTTGCCCAGGAATCTTCAGCGGATAAGGAGAGTCCTCATCACAGGGTGTGAAAAGGGCTGGAAATACCCACTCAGAGGCTCGGTGACAGCCATGTCCCCTACCCTGAACTGGGGGCCACGAGAATGACACTCTGGCTGAACACGGGTCAACACGGAGAGAGTCAAGGTGAAGCTAAGAACCGAGCATGTTGCAAAAGAGTATGTACCTATGCACATATGCCTAGATAGATGACCAGAGTAACATATACAAAGGTGTCATCAGCACCCATTCATCACTGTATAATAGAATTATGGGCCTTAAACATTTCTCTACTGGGAATAAGGGAAATTAATCCATCAGCAAAAACGTAAGTTTTTAATTTTAAAAAGTTAAAGACTTTTTAAAGAACTGGGTGTCGTGGGTAAATTATAACACAGAAAAGCCTGAGGTCAGGAAGAAAGACTTGCGGCACCCACGCCTGGAGAGTGAGGACCAAGCTGGCCTGTCCCCAGCCCCGCCTGCACCCGCTGACCACCGGCGCAGGCCAGAGCCAGCCCAGCATATGACGCACGGGCTGCGTGTCCTTCCGAACGTTGGTGCAGGAAAGACCTCAGATTATATAACCCTCACCAGTCACCAGCTGGAGAACACAGGTCCCCACAGGGGCTGCCCAAGTCACACAGGTAATGGGTGACCTTACGGAAACTCAGCTTCCTGGCTGTAGGAGGTGCTGCAGGAATAGTCCCTCCAGCCACAGGTGGGCTCCTGGAGAGAGCATCCCTGGGAACACAGAGCTGGCACCATCCCCGCGCAGGGGCCTCCGGGCAGCTGAGGAGCAGCTCCTTCCCCCGCACGCCCTGCTGCCCGCTCACCGTGCTTCTCGGGCTGTAAGCAGTCGAGGCTGTAGGCGCCCAGGAGGATGTTGGCCTGTCGCTGCAGGGACTTGCCGAAAGGGTGGCTGCCCTCAGAAACCACGTAGTAGAACACGCAGCCCGCAGAGAAGATGTCCACCGTGTAGGTCTGAAAAGAAGTGCGGGCGTGAGAGGCCTGCGGGGAGCCCCTCTCCCAGCAGCAGGGGAGTGCGGCTGCCACTTCCTCCACGTTGAGCATGTCATGGAGGACGGGCTGACGTTTGGGAATTGCTCGCAGCGGTGCTGGGCCCTGCAGGGGCCGCTTGGGTGGCGTGTTCACCTTGGAGACAGGGGCTCTGGGGCCGACTGCCGGGACCCGGCTCTGCCACCGGCCAGCCGGAAGCCCCGTGACCGCTCTGTGTCTGTGTCCTCCAACGGAAAACAGAGAGAACATGCTATGCTTCTCAGGGTTGTTGTCAAGATTACGTGCATTAATATGTGAAAATTCACCTAAACTGGTGTGTGGCCCGAGGAAGCTCCCTCCTAGCCATCAGCTACTCTTCACCCGGCCGGCAGGTGGCTCCTTGGAGGTGGGGATTTCTGTGCCTTTGCTGCCTGGTGTACCCCAGGGCCTGCTTATGTTAGGCTTTAAAACTTAAGTTAATAAAGGAATAAAACACTCGCTGCTTCAAAAATAGCCCCAGAAAGAAACTATGTGACAAGTTTCCAGGGAGGTCATTCTGATGTTCGCGTACACCTCTCACTGATCCCACAAACCCGTTCTGTGTCTGTGGGGACTTTCGGGAAATGTGCAGTGTGGTTTCCAGCCTGCACTACTTGGACGTAACACTAGGTGGCTCCCGAGCATGGCCTGTCGCCAGGCTGCACCACTGATTCTCCAGCAGACACCCGAGGACCCAGGAGCCCGGCACCTTCCACTCTGGGGAAAATACTCCTGCAACAATAATGACCTGCAATCCACCCTCAGCACAGCCCCACGGGCTGAGCACAGCGAATCTCATAAAGACCTGGGCAGAGAGGTCCAATGACGACCAGGACAAGGTTGTCCCAGTCAAGGATGAGGCTCAGGTCTTCCAATTCCCAGGCCCGACCACCTTTATCTCATCAGATTGTCCTCACGCGGGTGACAGATTCGGGACAGAGGAGCAAGTCCACCACAGCTGAAGCTCTCACCTGTCACTTCACCTGCTCGGTATCACTCAAGCTCCCTGTTTGCCACAGCCTGCGCTGCCTGACGCCCCCATACACTCAGCACTGATGCTGGGGCGCTCTTGTCCTACACGCCTGGGTCCCCTGCTCCCACCAGCTCATCTCTACGCTCAGTTATGTTCTTTCCCAACTTATTATTGCCACTTGTTCTTTAATTTAAATGTCCCATAAGCTGTTAAAACACGGCTGCCACCAACTTTGAGGTGAGCTGAGTTTTGCAAAGATTCAATAAAGGGGAGTGGCTACAAACTCCTATGAACTGGATGTGGGAGACTCCACTGTAAGGGACTGGGACATAAATAGTGAGCTAGGATTCTGCTCTTAGGACGGGTGTGAAAAGTCTAGGTCTCTAACTAGGAGGCACAGAAGTGGCATGTGAGGTGCTTTATACAGGAGAGGAAATGAACAACTCCATTCAGTTGGACCCGAATGCGAAGAAAAAACCTACATCAAAGATTCCTATTACTTAACGAATCACAGTACTTGCTTTAAGTTAGTGTTTAAAGTGTGAGGCATTTTCTCATGACCTTCATCATAACTGACTTCTTTGACTCACTGACCAGCTGCTGTGAATGGGGTAAGAGGGCTCGACGGAATCTCATCTATGTTAGACTGGCTGACCCCATCCGGGTCTGGATCCGGGGATAAAGGTGCCGAGACACGATGGGCTCTCAGCAGAAGGATGAAGAAGCCAGCGGAGGGCTCCCGTTGAACCAATTTGAGTGTCAAAAGGAGAAACAAAAATAATAGGGAAAAAAAGGACTATAATGGATTATAACACTATTTAAAAAATCCATGAATTCATAGTGACTCAAAAAAAGAGAGAGAGAAAGGGGATCAGAAATAAAACTCTTCTTTATAGAAAAATGTCAGCTAATACATGCAGAAGAATTCCCACTGAGTTAAGGAATTCCGGGAGGGACTGTCAGTGGACGGTGCCATCGGGCGAATGACTGTTGGGAAAGAGGACACCATCCACGCTGTGCCAAACATGCCCCACAGGGAACAACAAAGAGGAAAATGTGGTGGAGAGAAAAGCAGTGCCACCTGCGCCGAGTGAGCCCAGTTGGCATCGCTAGCGGGGTCAGTAACAACGGTACAACTGCCATGCCGTGCCTCCTCATGCCGTGGCCTGTGACGGCTGCTGCAAGAACATGTACCTTCAATCCATTCGGTCCTTCGGACCTACTTTTAGTTCACAGGAACACAAGGACTACACAGGCGAGTTAACACCACCACGAAGAAAGAGTGAGCAAGCCCCAATGGGGCTTTCTCCAGACGAGCGCCTCACTCTTCAAACATCACTCCCAGGGAGCAGAGAAGATCGGGGACCGAAGCAGATTACAGGGGAGAGCGTCACATGCCGTGCAAGGCACCTGACTAGACCCTGGTTTGCAAACACCAGCTCTGTAAGCGGGATCTGGGGCAATGTGAATGTGGACTGAGTGTCAGAGGTCAAACGTTAGTTGTTGAGGTGTGATATGGTGTAAAGCTTAGGACTGTGCTTGTTCTTGGAAGACACCTGCTAGGGTATTTATGGGTGAAGGACTGGGGTGCTTCCCTTTTATATTCAACTGGTTCAGCAATAGACAGAGAGAAAGTGAAAAATAACTAACAAATGTTCAATATGGACGGAGGTACAAAGGTATTTTCTGCACATCTTAAAAATCCTCAAAATGAAAAGTTGAGAGAAAAAAAGAAAAAGAAAAAGAATACAAACTGGAAGTGCGTTCACCTTATGGAAGCTCTGAGTTCCCAAATACGGGGGAAGTGACTGGGAAAGGTGGGGAACCCCAGACACTTGCTCCCGTTGGCCCCTCTCGTTCACCTGGTCGTGAGACGATACGAAGGGCCAGCGGCCCTCCAGTCCTGACAGGAGGCTCCTAGTCCTGACCGTGCGAGAGGCTGCAGTTTCCAAAGGCCTGTGCCCGTTACTCACGGGGTTCTCCTTGCAGTCCTCACTCAGCATCTCCGGGGCGATCCAGCCTTCGGTGCCGGGCACCCCCGAGCAGCGGCTGAAGCTGTGCCTGCCCACTGCCAGCTTCTTGCAGAGGCCGAAGTCGGAGATCATGGCCTTGATCCTGCCATGCGCATTGGGCATGGAGAGGAGGATGTTGTGGGGCTTCAGGTCTCTGTGAACTAACACAAAACTCCAGATGAGCCCAATGTGAACCACGAGCAACATCGGGCTTCCTCCTGCGATGGGAGTGCACCCTCCTCAGACTGCCTAGCGCCCTGCGCCTCTAAAGGCTTCAACTGCGTAAGAATCCTCCTCAGACTCTTATACAGCGTGCACGCCAGCGATGCAGCAAAGAGCTTCGGCAGAGGCCAGGCCCACCTGGGCAAGCCCGTCACCCCGGTCACCCCGCCCGGGCCGCGCCTCGTGGAGGAAGCCTCTCACCGATGTTGAGGGAGTGCAGGTGGGCCAGGCCGGAGGTGGTCTGCTGCAGCAAGGTGATGGGCTCCAGGCCGAGGTGGGCAAAGTCCTTCTGCTCCACGTACTGCAAGAGACACGGCCAGGTCGCGGCTCAGCCCCAGGACTCGGCCCCTCGGTGCATTCCCCTCTTTCTCTTTTTAAAGTGATTCAATTTTATCTAGAGAAATCCTGCCTCCAGCTTTCTGCTTTAACATTTGGTATTGAGTCAGCTCATTTTCTTTTATCATATTTCAAGAAAGGGAAGTTTTACTGACAATATTCTGTCCAAATCCTTATTTTTCCAAAGACTTTCTCCTCAAAGAATAGGCTAATTTAAACAAACAGCTAAGCTCCAACTTACTAGTTTACAGTGGGAAAGATAAGAGGGTAAAAAACTCAAGTTCACTGCCTCATACATTAAACCTACGCGTGAATGAGTGAGACAGTTTCACGGCGAGTTGGAAACTGAGCAGAAGGAATTATGATCCTAACGACTCAGGTCATCAGGAAGCATCCTCCAAGCCACACCAGCCCTGGGATCGGGACCGGCCAGGTGTTCCAGAGGCCAAGAGGGAGACGGACGCTAACCACAGATTGCCCCAGGCAGGCTGAGGGACACCCCGGTTTAAGGTGGGGTGATAAAATTGCTCCACATTTTGACTTTGTTTAAATGGGTATACAACTTTGCAAATGCATCAAACTGTCTGTCTTAAACGAGTACATATTATAACTTCAATAAAGTTAATAAAAGGAAATAAAAAGGCGACTCCGGCCGTCCCTGAAACCGTGCCCCAGGTGCCGGGAGGAGGGGGGCTGCGTGGGGGCATGGGCACCCACCTCCTGCAGCGTGGCCGCGCACAGCTCGATGGCGATGTACTGGAACTGCCGGTCCTTCTCTGTGCAGAAGTAACGGATCACGTTCGGGTGCTCGTCGGACTCTCGCAGCAGCTGGACCTCGCGGTCGGCGAAACTGAAGCACTCGGGGAGGATCCTCTTGACCGCCACGTCGCGGCTGTCGAACATGCCCCTGCAGGACGAGGGGGGGTTGGGTTGGGAGGTGCAGGGGGCTGTGGAGACGACAGGAGGCCCGTGGACCCACAGTGTTCCTTCTCCTCTGACACAGCGGCCACTCATCTGCCTCAGAGCCCAGGAGGTTCCAACCAACCACCTGTGGTCGCCCCTTCTCTCCCTGGAGGCGGCACTCTTCCGTCTGAGTCACGGCTCTGACCCTGCTGTACTCTGGAGCCTGGCAAGCGACAGGCACTCCTGTCTGTCGTGGTGAAGGCACAGGGCTCTCCAACCCACTCACCGGTACACAATTGTGCCCTCCGCTCCGTGGCCCAGGACGTCCTTGGGACAGAAGGAAATTTTCCCAACCATCACCATGCTGGTTTCCTCATCTGGGACAAAACGGGAAAAAGGAGGGACTGTGTTAAACAAACCCAACCTAAACCTGGAGGCGAGAGTGGCTACAGCTTCCTGAGCTCAGACTGAGACATGCATCTCAGACTCTCTATGCCTGTCCCCTGATGAGAGACGCTCTACGCCTGTCCCCTGCCCCGGTCCTGCCTCTGCACTGCAGTGAGAATGAACGTCTTACACCTTCCTGAAGACAGGGGCTCGCTATAGACCCACCTCAAGGATTTGCTCCTGAAACACCCGTGTGACATGGGGAGACCAGCTGCAGAGTCTCCAGCGTGAGACTGAGGACTCTGAGGTCTCCTGTCCTGACACCAGCCTGAGCCACCCCCCAAGGGAAAGTGGACCAACAGCTGCACTTTCTTCCCTGGCCCCTGGCTGGCTTCGGGAATGCTCTCAAGCCAGGGGCCAGGGCACCTCTGCTCAGCAGTGACTGCCAGCCCTTGTGGGGCAAGACGAAAGGGGACCGCGGGGGCTCCCAGAAGGCCCTCTGAGAGGAGAGGCCACAGATGGGCAGAACCCTGGCCTGAGAGCGGGAGGGAGTCAGGTGAGAATATGCTGAACGCTTGGGAACTTCGTAACCCCATGGACACTCCCAGGAGGGCCATGTGCTGTGTCTCTCAGGTGATACTGAAATGAAAGAGAAAACGACACCAAATGGCAAATGGCTTTACCCTCGTCGTCCTGCTCCAGGCAGGGGCTGGTGCCGGCCCTGGAGGCAGAGCTGCTGGAGTGCAGCGAGTGGTTGGAGGCTCGGGGGGACGTGCTGGGGCTGCTGGTGCCCGAGCTCTCCGAGTACAGGCCGGACGAGTCCAGGAGCTCGGCGTCCTGAGCCATGTCCCTGGGTGCGTGGAAGGGCAGCTGCTGCTGTTGCAGGAGCTGGATTTTCTCCAGTTCCTTCTGGAACTGCCGGTGCTGGAGCTGCTGCTGCTGATGCATGCTCTGGGAAGAGAAACACACATCCAGACAAGTGCGGCGTGTCCCCTGGGGCCCGGGGAGAGGCAGGGCTACCTGTGCCAGAGAAGCAGGTGCACTTTATGTGACCCCACAGGGTGGAGGAGATGGTGGGAAGCACAGGAGGCAGGGTCTGTTCAATGGCTGGTCGTCTCCCTGCCAGTTAGACTTCCCAGGACAGCCCATTCTTCCCACTGGAGGCTGACGGCCACCAGGCAGGGGCAGCAGAGGTGGACCCACTTAAACAAGTGGAAAGCACCCCCAAAGTAAAGGGTTTATATGTCCATTCCTATATGGGCATGCGCTTCCCGGGCACTGTGAGCTAAGGTGGTAACATTTCAGGGCTCGGAGCAACCTGATGAAGGAATATTCCTCTGGTATATGGTATCCAATGCACAGCCTACGCGACTATGTGACTTTAGCTCACTTATTTCCAACTAGAGAGTGGGAGGGATGACCAGGCCACCTTTCTCACTCTCGCTGATATCTCTAATAGCCAGTTTTTAAGAGAAGAAAGTTAAAGGGATTTTCACCTATTATGGCTATTCTTAAAAAAGGAAAATATAGTTAACTATTCAAATAGAACTGTAAGCAAGGTTTACAAATCAGTTTGTACAGTCAAACCATAAGATCTTGGTTACAAAATCATCATTTTTTGAGAAGCCAGTGTCTCTCTAATTATAATGGTTTTAAAGATTAGCAAATATTGACTTTTACATTTGAAAAGAAACGTATATGCTTGTTTGCTGTGTTTGCCTGGGCCTCACTGTCATCAGGTGACAGGCACAGAAGCTTGGAAACATGCGGGTGGGCCAGGGGGAGGGGCCGGGCCTCACTGTCATCAGGTGACAGGCACAGAAGCTTGGAAACATGCGGGTGGGCCAGGGGGAGGGGCCGGGCCTCACCAGGGGGTAGGTGATGATGAAGGCCACCCAGCCGATGAGCAGGAAGGTGCTCAGGACAATGGTGGCGATGTCCTTGAGCACGGAGTCCACGGGGGCCTCGGGCTTGGCGGGGGCGTGAGCGAACTTCTCCTCCACACCCTGAGAAACGGTGCTGGGCGCATTCCCTGAAGTCTGGTCAACCAGGTGGATAACCTTGTGTGGGAGAGAGTGGTTACATCTCTGCAACATTTCCAGCAAGACAAACGAGCCAATCAAGAGAAGCACTGACTATTCACAAGGAATATGTGAGATGTGCTGGATTTTTTAAGCCCTCCCAGAGAGCACAGGGCCGGACAACCGCTGCCTTTCCCAAAGCGACTGCCTTAAGAATTACTGCTGTGATGTTATCGTTACTCAGGCTGAGCAGCCACTGGACTCCGGTCTCCCCACTTCCTCTCTCCGTCTTCCCTCCGCTGCCAGGGTTGTCAAGGTTTGGTAACATGGTTCTTCTGTAGCCAAGTGATCCCCTTTCCCACTGGTCCCCACCTGGTAGCCTCAGATCCGGTCAGGCCTGTCTCCTCAGCCCCACACCTGGACACAAGGGTCAGCCTCACCTCCAGGCCTAAGCTCTGCTGCTCTCCTCCCTCCAGCGGCCTCTGCTGCTGTCCCAGCCTTCAATCCCACTGCCTTTCCTGCAGCTTTTGCTAATGGCCATCTCCTTCCTCCCCTCCGTCCCTACCAGCTGTCATTTGCCGTGGACTCCCCAGCGGAGTCAACTGTAAGCTCTAAAGGCAAGAGGAATGCCTTATTCCCACCACCCAACCCGAAGAGCCGTCACTGCTCCCTGCCCCACTCACGTCCTCAAAGCTCTTTTTCTCAGAGTCGGCAGGAATCACATTTTCCCGGTGTTTGGGCAGATTGTTGGGGAATCTCTCCAGCATCTTGGTAGACGCAGACAGCGGCGTTTCATGGTGTCCTGGGAGAGGAAAGGACACTTTCATGAGAACAGCATCCAGGTGGGGGCAGCCCTCGCGGCCCAGCTGAGGCAGCAGTCACTATCCACGGAGAGGTCTGCAGTGCAAACACTCACGTTTGTAAAGGGAGAGAACGAACACGAGAGGCAGCTGCCAGGAATGTCTCATCAAGACAGAAGTTTTGCCCAGAGGGTGTGGCTCAGTGGTTGAGCATCCACCCATAAATCAGGAGGTCACCAGTTCGATTCTGGGCCAGGGCACATGCAGCGTTGTGGGCTCAATCCCCATTAGGGGGCATGCAGCCAATTGATGTCTCTCTTATCAATGTTTCTCTCTCTCTCCCTTCCCTTCTTCTCTCTGTCTAAAATCAATAAAAACTTTTTATTTTTTAAAGACAGACATGTTGTTACTTAATGGCATGTATCCAGTCTTCTCAATCTAATAATGAGGGGCGAGAAGTCTCCTTGTCAGGAGAGGAATTAGGGTGTTGGGGATATGTTTCAGAGCAAGACTTGTGTGCGTGTTCCTAACAGGCTGTCTGCGGCTGAAGCGTTAGGAGGCTTTGTTCGACGTCCAGGGAGTTCGCCCTTCAACGCTTCCCCTTGTAACATCACTCCACTTAGAGTATCAACTTCCCATCTTGGTTTTCAATTGCTCCAGGGGAGCTCTATTTCTTTTACCGCAATGTGAGCTTCCATCCGGGGAATGGTGAGCTATTCGCGAGAGCAACAGGACATACTTGCTAGGAGGACAGGGGTCACGGTGCTCTCAGCGTTCACTCGTTGTTCTCCACACGACTACTTTGTGGCTACCTAGTATTCATCA